ACAGGCAGACAGGGCTGCATGTTAACATCCAGATCACACACATGTATGCAGGGATGCTAGTTAATACACATATATGTCAATGAAAGCCAGTTTTATTTCTACCATACAAGTGTCATATAAATGAATCAATACTGGGCTCTGTGAAATTCATGGACCTGACAAATGTATATAAAGCTCATAATTTTTTTATATGGGTCAAATATGAATATATTGTCCACTGGACTACTATATTAGGGATTAAATAAGAAATATAAATTACTTTCTCGGTAAACATAGTTACAGAATAATAATGGATGGTGACTCACTGCGTTAATTCTAATATGATTATATCCATATGCGTTCAGTCCTACACAGGCAGCAGCCGGGATGCTAGATAGATACACTTGGCGACAGAGAGTAATGGAGGAAAAATTAAAGACTGTCCATTAGGATTGTTTCATGGCAAAGAAACGAAACAGACAACCTTTCCATGCAGTGAAGAGCAGACTACCACAAACAGATCAACATTTTCCACACTAGGCCACATCAAGTAGCTTTTGTTGGATAACTCCTACACTGGTAGTTGCGTGTGTTCCCCCCCCCCCTTCACCCACTAGGGGCGACGCGTGCAGGTGCGGCAACCAGGCCAACAACCGTGGGGCGGCGTGCGCTCCGGCTCCACGGAGGGTGCACATAAAGCTAAAACTCAAACAAACTGCTACCGTAATATTGTAACAGCTTTACTCAGCGTATTAAAGCAGGCGATAAATCACCCTTCGCCAGCCAGTCCGGGACAAGAGGATGCGCCATGCAGCTACACTTCCTGCAGGGAAGGCAGCATTTGTCCCTTGTCCCGCTTTCACGAGAAGCGGTTTGTTCGCACGCGATGTGCAAAGCAGTCAAGCAAACTGCTCGGTTGAGTGACTGAGGCTGAAAGCTTTAAGGTACAGAAACATGTTTTCTAGGCTATCCCAAAGGAAACAATGAAAATGTTTAAATGGACGATTTCCTCGCGGAGGTTTTAGACAACGCACACACTTCGTTGTTTCAGTTATCACTTATTGTGACTTCGTTTTGTTGGCTTGTTTATGCGGCAGTAAACGCAGTTGTGTTTTTGTTGTTGCCTGCATTTCACCAGAGGGTGGCAGGATTTGTACTTAGTTTGAGAAAACGGGTATGTCGATAAGGCACAGAGAATGAACATTTCAAAATGTTAACCTACTGCATTTTGAGCGCAGCATCTTCAGCCCTGACTCTGTTATTGAATGTATAGCCTCCTCTGTAGAATATAACTATCTGAGGCTCAGGGTCAGTATTGGCATCTTTGTAAACCAGAATAGATCATAGTGTCACTGCAACTAACTGGTCTCAGATCAGCACACACCTACATCTCAGCCCACCCCTATTTCAGAATGGAATGCTCGGGATTCTTTGATTGACACTCACTGAAAGCCAATGAGAAGTCGACTTTATGTCTCGTGGCCAATAGTGACTATCCAGTACTTTGTACTCTAACTTTGTACTGAAGTCAGAACATCAAGCTATTGGGGCTGATTTCTGTTGTTTTGCGCAGAGCCCTGGAAATCATGCTCTCAAAGCGCGAAAACATCGGGGATGCCGTGAAGTCTCTTGTTGTCGGTTTCTGGATCATTTTTAGCTTGTATTCCGCAGGTGTTCACGGCCAGGAGGGTAAGAAAAGAAGCTATTTTGTTGACCCTTCTGATAAAGATTGTGACGAGAGACTTTATTTCAAACATTTGTTAGCCTAGTACTAACCTTAACCTGCTACCTTATGGTCATGAGCATCTGGAACCAATTAATTGTAGTTTATTTTAACTTTGTGGTATGTTTTTGCATGTAGGAAAATGGTTCAAAACACTGTCAGAAGTGCGACAAGCACCAGTGATCTTTTAAACTTTAAAACATCTCTTGCATCCTAGTCATTATCTCAACTGCACATTATATTGACTGAATTTACGTTAGCAGCTACTAATTTTATCATTAGCTAGCCATGTTGTAGTTTGCAGGCTAACTCACAGCTCCTGACAGCTTTGACATCCATTCTGATTTTATAAACCACACGAAACTTATGTTTGTCTGAGATATGCTTAGGTCTGTGGCTAAACAATCTATTTCAAATTTAAATAGGTCAACTATGGGTTTGACTATGAGATGTCATGGTAGGATTTTCTTCCATTGACAGTGTTTACCTACAGATGCCAGCTATCTGTTTACCTTACTAAAGCACCCCAATACCAATACATGTACAGTATGACTCACAGTATGACCATACACATGGGCAGACAAATACAACAACAATCTATGGACCCGCAGACTATGACTCTCAGCCATACCACTAATCTGTTTGTTGTTTTTGTCTGCCTCTGGGTCTTTGGTTTCCTCACATAGGAAGATGATTAAGTCCAGGGTCAGTTATTTATTCTGATTCACATTTTACTTACTGGTAAGTATGCAGAGCTTTGGCGGGGCCAGGGTATGAGGAAAACATTTCAGCCTCTGTCATGTAATGTTGTAATTGACACACAAAACAGGATAAGGCAATGTAGTAACAGGTAGCACAGGTGAAGATCCTCTCTGCTTGTGTGGACCTGTAAGGACCTGTCACCAAAGCCTCAAGTGGGAAAACAATGTTAACAGTGTGCTTTAAATTGACCATCTGCTGTCTCAGCTCAACTCCACTTTGACCTTCTAAGTATTCTAAACTGGTCAGAGCAGTAGTCACTATAGGCTGGGCATGTATATCTTTGTGTATGAAACTAGAAACAGACAGGCCTGGAGACTGTAAGTGAAAGAATCAGTGAGTGTCAGTGAGCAGGAGATGGTTGCCAGCCACCCAGAACGTTGTCCCCAGAATTGCTGCCACGCTGTGGGCTCCCACCAGAAGGTGACAGACAGATCCATGCTTTGTTGCACACAGTTACAGTATGTCGCTGTGGCATTTCCAAGGAATCCTCTGGGGACTTGAGGAGAGGCAATAACATCTGAAGGTTTATGGAATAAGGGGCTGAAGAGCTGCCGGGAAGTAGGGGGATGACGGGGGTGATGCAGGATGTGTGTGATAGAGGGTGAGGGAAAGGTTATCCTCTGGTTTCCCCTCAGCGGATCTCCAGGAGCCTTATATGGAAGATCAGGCCAGGGAATATGTTTTGGCTTGAGTGGGCCCTTTTTTCATGTTTTGACCATTCTCGGAACATGTCCCCACTTGACATTTTGGGGGTAGGATTTCAGTCTGCCGGGCCTGCAGCACTTATCTTTGTGTGACCACTGTGGGAATTGACTCATTTATTTTCTGTGACCGACGGGGATTTTAAGCAATCTAAATATTTGTGTTTTTCGTTCCAGATGAAGTGTTACTCACAGCAACCACAAGTCAGGGGGTGCAATGAATCAACAGTCAGGAAAATAGTGCTCATGAGGAAACTAATTCATAATAAGATCAATCAATAAGAATAAACCTTTAATCTATTTTTCTGCCATTTCTCTCACTTCCCTCACTGGCAGTTTTCTCATTTCACAGTTATGATCACAGGAGTATAAACATGCCCTGGTCTGCTCTGCATGTTCAGAATAGACCTATTACTCATCTCGCCTGAAATGGGACATTGACAAAGCCCTTCATAGTATGTGTATGGAATTAATAGAATTAATGACAAATTGTCTGTGGTTGTGTGATTTTGGCCTTGAATAAGACTGAGCTGCTCCTCGCAGCCATTACAGAAGTTAAACTTAAACTTAAGTGCAACAAACGTGAACATTGTTTTAGTTTTCTGCTCAGCTGAGCACCTTTTGGATTGTTAGTCGTATAAAGCATGAAAATTGGACATGTCATCTTGAGCTCAAGAAAACTCATCTTTCACCATTTTCTGACATTTTACAGACCGAATGTTTAACAGAGTTAGTAGCAGCCCTTGTACTACTGATTTTCATCATGACCACTTGTTTGTACTTTACAAAAATGAGTTAGAGCTTTTTCATTAGCAAGTGGTCAGCATCTCATTTTTGGAATGAAACTGTCCCTAATCAGTTTACCTTGTCGGCTTTTTTGTAATTACATGATTTCAGGTAATGGCTGTGGACATACTCTGTTGGGCCCAGAGTCTGGCACCTTGGCCTCTCAGAACTATCCAGGCACCTACCCGAGTAACACCTGGTGTCACTGGAGGCTTCGGGCGCCAGAGGGACGAACACTGCGATTGCTGTTTGGGGATTTTGATGTTGAGAGCAGCCCAGGTTGCAGCAATGGCTCTCTTGTGATCACAGACAAGAATGGAAAACCCAGTCTGGGTAAGCTTGGTTTGTAAATGTACTTCAGGTTTTTTCTGTTTAATGGGGTTTTGGACATTACAGATAGACACTCATGACTTTCTTTTTTCATGGAATATACAGGGCATGCCCTTCCATTTACACATACACAAGAGAGATAAATCCAGTTTCACAACACATGCACATTTTCCAACCAGGTGTAATGTGTCTTGAGGGCATAAAAATTTGACAGCACAACAAAACAAGGGATTGAGGATTCACGAGGTAGAAACATTCTGTTAGGCTGCCTTTTGTATTTACTATTGGATTCCACAGAACCTGGCTTTTATTTTGTTTTCTTTACCATGTAGCTGTTCTTACATTCAGCTTTTCATGTGACATGGCTCTGCTCTTCACTATACAATAATCCATTAGTGGGTGAGACTGACTTAAGGTGCTTTTGGACCAGAGGAACTTTATGATAGTTTTTAGAACTATTGGAAAAATGACCGTTGTTTCTGTGTCCGAGGAACTGAGAATGATGATAGTTCTTAGAATGCCATTTTGAGGGATGTCTTTAGTTCCTACTTCATGGTAGGTACTCTCCAAGTGCAATAGGCTCCATGAATGATGTATGTGTACATTGACTGCAGCATCACTGTCATCTTTTAAAAACTGTGTTAGCCGTGTATAGCGAATCAGATGCCATCACCAGTGGCATGGGGAGCTGCAGTTTGCCAACGTAAGCCTCATAAAGAAAATACTTTCTGGTAATATAATGTCGCCATATGTTAAATTGTTGTGAGCTTATTGGCTAATGGCTAACAGTCAGCTGGCTTAGTGTTCCTACTGGTGGTGCAAATGCAAACAGCCAGTGAAGGTATGTAGTTCTTAGGGGAGCTCCCCAGCAGGGTAATCCCTAGAACTGTTTGGTCCGAAAGCACCTTTAATCATCTACATCTGTTATTAAGCAGCGGAAATACATGTGTTCCCAATCCAAGAAATGTAGTGTGCAGGCAGATGTATTGCATTTGTGTTTGGGAACTTTTACAAATGTAGTTTGTGTTCACAGGTCCAGTGTGTGGGAAGCTTGATGCGACATTGAAAAATGTGACACTTAAAAGCAATGAAGTGACAGTAACCTTCAAGTCAGGCCCACACCACTCTGGACGAGGGTTTCTACTGTCATATGCCACAGACCAATATCCAGGTATGATCCACTCTGACTGGAACTGCGCTGCTCAGCTATTTGTAACTTGTAATTATTATTTGAGTGGTTATCATAAGCTTATGAAGGATGTTTATTATCAGCTATTTTTACAGTTGTTGTTGTGCTTGTAAAGTGAAAATGTGAGATTTGTAGTTGAAATGAATTTCTACAGTGTGCTCATTTACAAGTTTACACTGGTGTAATTTTAACACTAGCGTCTGTGAATATTTGTCCTTGTGTATTTGCACTTGCGAGTTTGTGTGTGGTTGTGTGTATGAGTCACTGCTTATTGGCATTCATCTTCCATCGCTATCTTTGCTCTGGCGTGTTTGCTCAGAAAGCAGGAGTCAGACTCCTTCTCTCAGGACTGAATGGTGTGAGGCCTCAGGCTTCAGTCTGACATTTGGAGTGGCTGGATTTCTTTTTCACTCCCCCCTCCTCTTCATCGGCCTGTTAACCACTGCAAGCCCACTCGCATCATGTGTTTGTCACCATAAAGCATCTCAGCCCAGGTCCTGTTGATTTAGCAGCTATCGAGTCCAAAGATATATCACCCTTTTTTCCACCAGTGCAACAACAGATTGTACCATATGTATTGTATTTAGGGATTAAAATGCAAATTTTATGTTTATTGTATCTTAGATTAATCACAAAGTGATACCTAGGATAATGTTCTTGCTGTGTATCATTTCAATACTTGTGTGTTTAGTATGTATGTGAGTCTGTATTCAGAGAGCTTCCTTTGGATGAGGTCATCTGTCTTGTACAGAATGTATCATAGTTTCCTGTTTTTGTCCTGAGTTGTTTATGAATGTCTGGAGCAAAGACTGTGTTCAGCTGTACAAACCACTGTCTGTTAACTAGGACCATTTTGCTGTATTTGTGAACTGTGACAAAGTCCCAGTAACAAAGGGTTTGGTCACATCATCAGTGATGACCGCTCATCACCTCATGTGGCGTGCTCCAAGCGTGCTAGACTGTCTCACACAGACTCTGTTTGTGTGTGGATTAGTGAATGGCAAGTGGCGTTATGTAAGCCTGAAATACTGGGTCCCACACCATACCATTTAGCTCCACCTACAGTATACATGCCATTTAAGAAAGTTTGAACTTATTCTGAATTTGAGTATATCCTTGTCTGTTTTGCTGTTACAGATCTCATTTCTTGTTTACAACGAGGATCTCATTTTAGCTCGCAGCGTTTGACGTAAGTGGTTGACCTCTGTCTATAAGAAAAGCTGTTTCAGTAGATCTGTGAGTGTTTCTCACATATTATCCTGCTGTTTCTCAGTGTGTACTGCCCTGCCGGTTGTAAGAATGTCACAGGGGATGTGTGGGGGAACTCTGAGCAGGGCTACAGAGATGTAAGTACACCACATTTCATTTGGCAGCGCTACATTAGGCTTCATTCAATTCACATCATATCTTCCCCTTTATTACAGACATCAGTCCTGTGCAAGTCCGCTGTCCATGCTGGAACCGCGGCTGATAGACTGGGAGGTCGTGTCACTGTGACTCGTGAGAGAAGTCTTACGCTCTATGAATCCACCTTTGCTAATGGAATCGTTTCTAAAACGTGTGTGCCATTATTGTATTCAAAATGAGAGACTGCACAGTAATGTCATAGAGATTACCGATTAGCTCCAAATTGCTTTAGTGATTTGTATTTGATTATGTAGCAGTACTAACCTTTCAGTTGTCCTCTTTTGGCAGGGGATCGTTATCTGAAAAGAAGCTGCTCTTCAGCCAAGGTATGAGCCACACAAAGTATTTATTATTAAACGCTTTGCATGTTTTAACCCGTTCACTACAAGTAACACATTATCAGGATTCCAATTTTTGTGTCTCCCCCGCCAATGTTGTGGGTGTCCATAAGTTTCCATGCCTTTCTCCATGGTCTTCTTGATTTATGCAATTTGTCGCAGTGAACAGAATGTGTGCAACAAAGTGTCAGCAGTTAAAAATAGTTTATTTGTAGTTAAGTGGTTTATGTTGCCATATGTAAAAACACTTCCTTTGCCTTCTGAACAGAATGCAACAATGTCCTAGCTGTTTCTGGTTTAAAAGCCTCATCTTTCCGGAACAACAACAGTCAAGAGCACAGAAGGTTCTGGCCTTCCAGAAACATGGTTTCTAGCCATGACTTCCTATCCTGGGCAGCAGACAGTAATGATCCAAACCCATGGGTAGAGCTGGAGCTAAGTGATAATAGTACTATTAAAGGTAAATAAAAATTAAATAGCTTGGAAAAATATGCCTATTGACATCCTTTAATTACATTGTTTAAAGGATAAGTCTGGTGAATGAAAACACTTGAATTGAACCAATGTTGCTAATATAGCCAAAGCCTTGTCCACAGAAGTGCATTACTCTGTGCTATTGATGCACTCTGTGCTTCATTCTTGTTCTAAAATTGCTTAGGGTCACATGTTCCTTCATTAAGATGAACACGGCCACAGTAATTAATTTGTAGTCAGGCCCTTTTGCACCATCCTGGGAATACTCAATAGCGCATTAAATGTGTATTAATCTACCACTAGAAATACTCCACAAAACACTTGTTTCCTTTTTAAGTAAAGTTTGCTCAGATCTACAGTTCCCAGCTGTTTTGAAAAAAATAAAACTGTACTTGCAACCGGTCTTTAAGGGTCTACATATTCCCTAGGAACCAGTGGGCTTGGGTAAGGAAGTAGGAAAATTGAGAGGTTTTGGTCTTGTAATTGGACATGTTGACACTAAGAAAATATAGACTATCACCAGGCTTATCTTTTAAATGTTTGACCGACTTTCATTTATGTGAAACCCCTTTTACCTGTTAATCTAAAAAAAAAAGCTGTCTTCTCTCAGGAATAATAACAACAGGATCAAATGAGGACTACATAGAGTCCTACATTCTTCTTTTCAGTAAAGACAGAAAGCACTGGAAGCCTTACAGAAGTGCTCGCAGCAAAGAAAGAAAGGTACCCATTGCTTTTTACTCACTGATGTTCACTTGATGTTTCAGTTTGAGGCCCCAGCAGTCCAACACAGCTGATGTGGCAACTGAGTCTATCCTGGTTTTCTCTGTGAATAAGTAACTTGGTTGCTATGGCTTCCAGCTGTTTCAGGCTTACACCGATGGCCACTTCAGAGTTCTCAACAGTTTCTTTCCTCCCGTGGTGGCTCGGTTTGTTCGGCTACAGCCGCTGAACTGGCATGGCAGAGCTTCAGCTCAGGTCCAAGTCCTGGGCTGTCCGTTTGCCAAAGCCACACCAAGATCTCACCCAGACGGAAGTAGGCATTAGCTACTTTTCTCCTGGTTTATTCAGAATCAGCTTCATCTGTTCACATATCTGGTTTAGCAGTCGAGTATTCCTGATGTTAAATATTTCTGTCCTGCTACTTGTCCAACAGAATCTGTGTCCATCACAGTTAATGTGGGTACACTGCAGCCAAGCCAAGCTCCCACCCCCACAGAGGGCCCAGTTATAGTGGAAACAAGATCAAGTATGTACTTGTATCATCCTCTGATTCATCTGTATGCGCACATTGAAAACTATTACCAGTTTATTTGAGGAGGGATACTTGTTACATCAGTAAAAGCAATGTAGACATTGAGCATGTGTACATTGCAGTGACCTGCATTCCTTCCTCGCACTTGTACAACTGTTTACTCAGACACTTGTGTTCCTGTTTGTGTTCCTGTAGGCTCCAGTCCGCCAGTTGTGGTCGCAGTGGGCGTGGTCCTCGGGCTGATAATGTGCGGCTGTTGTTTGTTGGCTGGAGTATGGTGGAAGCGAAGGTATTCTATTTTATTATGTACTTTTTGGTTTATTTTGTGTACATTTTGACACTATAATTTAAACTGATTTATAACATGCTGAATAGTGCTGTCACTATATATTTATAGATGTAGATAAGTATTTATGCATCTGCTGATTTTTTTTTTTCATTTATTGCTTAACTGTTTAACTTATGGAATGTCAAAAAATATAATGACAAAATGCCTCTCACAACTTCCTAGAATCCAAAGTGACACCTTCACATCTTGTTTTGTTCAACCAAAATCCAAAGATTTGTTTACAGTGATGTATGGCAAGGAAAAACATTTCAGGTGCTAGAATCTGAGAAAAATAGTACAACATTTTTGTCAAAAAAAAATGACTGTAACAATCCATTATAATGTTTGCCTATTACTTCTGAGGCATTCAGTTAATCACCAGCCTTAATGGGGATGCTCCAGTAGTCATATCACACTTCAGAAGCAATCTGTTATATACAGTACAGTACTTGAATGCTTTGTGCTCATTTTCTTCTCTATACAGGAAAAAGGTTTCACAAATCAAGTTCTCCTTACCCACAAGTAAGTCAAGTGGTCTTTAAACTTTACAGTATTTTTCAATCTTCTGTTAAAAAGCATCTGACTATGTGCGTTTGCGTGTCACATACTTCAGGCTGTCAGAGTTTTGAAGCAAAGAGTCTCCCCTGCTCCCATTCAGAGCTTATCTCCTACCCTCTGGAGCGAAATGTCCACGACG